TCTATGTTTCTTGTTTCCTTAAGACAGAAACAGTTTGTTTCTGTTCCTCTACCCTTTCTTAATCTTTTTAAAATAAGTATTTTCTCAAAAGTGCTCTTAGTATTTTAAGAAATAATACTGGATAAATTACAGAGCTGCAAACATATTTTTGGAATAAAATTGTTATCAAGCTTATTTCTAACGTTGTTCCCAAATTTGCACAGAACAAAAACAGGATATCTGTTCAGTTCAGAAATTTAGCATACATGTGATTGTATAACATGAATGGAAAAGAATAAACCAGCTAGTAAAAGAATTATACAAGCTAGAGAAACACAAATAATGTGAATATATACCAATACTATTTGCTAATATCTTCTAGAGTTTTTTTTTTTTAAACAAATGACAGACGTTATATTTAACTATATTAATTTCAGGGTAAGAAAGTGAGATATTCTTATAGTAGAAATGTTGGGATATGTAAAAATGATAAAAAAAAAAGGTAAAACTCACCCATGCTTTCCCACCCAAGAGAATAACTGCAAAATTTATTTTGTTGTTTTAAACTTATTTTTGAATTTCTATAGCACTATCTTTCAGTAAATAATATTGAAAATTTGGAGCATAACAGTTCATGTGCTTATACAAATATATATATATATATGTGTGTTCTTATATAAAGCATTTTAAAGCAGTATGCAAATGTTTTCTTATTTTCTCAACAAAATAGCATTGACCTATATCTCTCTATAAAGAACTCACTCATCCAATTTAACATCTTATTAAGTTTATCTAACTACTATATATATGTCTGATAGTAGTTTAAATTTTAATTTTGTTGCTGCTACCAAAACTACTGAATTGAACATTTGCCTAGTCAAGCAAAAGGAGCATTCTAGAGTTAAAAAAAAAATTGCTAGAAAAAATGTCCAAAATTAAATTACTAGCTATCCATCTTGTAGTTCAGACAGGCCCCACACTAACTCTCATGACAACTACTGAGATAGTTGAGAATTTCAGTTGCAGGTTAATATGAGCATTTTGTAGAATTTGGTTTGATTTTTTTTTAAAGTTCTTATTTACATACCATTGTATTACTATGGTTGATTTTATTTTGTACCTCTTACTACTTTGAAGTTTTTATTTTGACTTAATTTTTATAGTGTTAGTATATTTAGCATAGTTTTTCAGGAGGGGTCATGAATGTGTATTTCCTATCTTTTCATTTCATGTGTGTACTGTTTTGGCTAGAATATAGGGTTAGTGAACTGCCATTGTGTTTCCTTGATAGTTTCTAAGCTGATTCCACTGTGTTCTAGCTTCCAAATTTACAGGTGAGAAATTTGAGAAATCCTACGCTAGGTTTCTACTGTTCCTTTTTTCATTAAAAACAACCTTTACTGAATTACCATTGATATGAAAAGAACTGCACGTATTTAATGCATATGATTAGATGAGTTTAGACACATGCAGACATCTATATCATTACCACAAAGAATTTGTGTCAGGACATTGATAGGATTTATTTTTGGAATTCAGAACCAGGCTAAGTGTATATACCTTTACTTTTATTGGTTCTAACTGGCATAGCAATGACTGAATTTCTCATTTCACTTATTTGAATGTTAATTCATTCTATCCTTTATTCATTTTTGTGTGCAATGCATGTTCTACACATTTCTCCAGGCCCTGTGACTACAAGCAGTGAATAATATACAGTACATTTCCTTGTGACAGCCCTCACACCTCTTTTTGTTTTATTTTATTTTATGTTAATTCTTCCTTTTCTGCCCCCACTTTCATTTCCCTGTGCTTATAGAGACTCTCTACCATGCATCTTTTTTATATTGGTTAGAATATGTCTACTACTTTCAAAATTGAAGTAGCATTGGTTTATTACATATAGGTTTAGTATATACAGATTTGTAAATCAACCGTTATATATACTACACTATGTTTGACAGAAAGCCAGAGACAGAGTATGGAGCAGAACAGGCAGACTGATGAAGTACACTGCTGAGGGGAGCAGCTGGCGGGTCAGGAGAGGTCTGTCGCGCTCTGTGGATCTCCTCCGGGACAGGCCGGAATCGAACTCTTTCGGAAGTGGCTTTAGCTTCTTAGTGCTGTGCTTTAACCCGCTGCTGCACCACCAGGGAGGGCCCCCTTACTAATATATATTAATTCACATGTCATTTTCAAGCATAAGGTGATGAGATGACTTGCACAGAATTGTTCACCTACCTAGTCAATGAGAGATTTATTAATTTTCCATATTACTATGAAGTGTTCAACTTTGGTAAGGGTATATAGAACATAATTTCTAGCTAGCTTAATTCTTAAACCTGGAAAAAAAAAGGAACAAAAATAACTACTATGTCTTATTTTAGATAAACATTCAACTTAAAATATCATCATAAGGTAATTATTTAAGACAGTATATCTATTATAAAACAAATCATAACAGTCTTAAAATACACAAATACTACAGGTAAAATTTTTAAAAATTGAGCAGATATTTCATTCTACTGAAGTGATATTAATATTATCAAGCATTAACATTAGCAACAATTTCCAAGACTCTAGTTCTCTGAAACTAGGATGTACAAATTTGAGGCTAAGTAAGCCTCTGAGACATTTGGATTTCATCAGGAACTGTACATTTTAGTTATACAAGGAACAACATTATACAAGCATGCAACATAGTCAGATAACATTGTATGAATTTAGTCTTCTAAACTTGAACATGTTTTCCTCACCCCAACCTTCCCTAACTTCTGTTTGAACACGGGCTCTCCCTGAGCAATCTTGCTTCAGTAGAACAAGAATATTTTTGAACGTCATGAATTAATTAGCCAACACTTCTGAATAGTGATTATAGGTGTGTTGCTTGGTTCTTTAACAGTCAACAGTGTCATGAAAGAAAGAAGGAAAACGGGAGTCAGGAAAAAATTCTGGATAAGGGATTTATAACTCAAAGAGTTGAGCTGAAATTCAACTTAATTTTATTGTAAAAATTTTATTGTAAAAAAAATTCATCAGGGGCCCTTTCTGGTGGCGCATCTGGTTAAAGCACAGCATCTAAGAAGCTAAAGCCACTTCAGCATGAGTTCCATCCCTGCCTGCCCCAGAGGTGATCCACATGGCGCAGTAGGCCTCTCCTGACCCGTCTGCTGCTTCCCTCAGCAGTGTACTTCGTCAGTCAGCCTGGTTTGCTCCTTACTCTGTCTCTGGTGTATCCTCTCACTGCTCCTGCACCTCTAGCCTGTACCCCAGTTTCTGCTGTTTGTTCTGTTATGAAATGGGTGTATACTGAAATCAATCTTGAAGATTCATTTAGAATGAGTAGGTTTTTTTTTCCTGGGGATAGACAAAGGAAAGGTGTTAGGGAGGTTTTTCAAATTTATGAAAATATGCATTCTGTATATAAGTATTTTATTCCTCCAGTTTGGCTAAATTTGAATTTCTGTGTAGTTCTCATATAACCTGCAAGCCCAAAAGAATAAAGAGAGATATGAAAATGATGGCATACTCCTGAAATTGTGATTTTTTTCTAGCACTTTTACAACAATGACAAGTTGGTCATTGATTGGGAGAAATTTACACTCTTCTACTAACTCTCTCTTCTCCGCCTCCTCCTCCAACATTTCTTCTTCCCTCTCCTTTTCTTCTATTATATATTAGAAATTCTAGAATTTAGCTGAGTTTCAGAAGCATATAGAAATAAAAGAGCTGTTTTAGAGTTGGGGTTTGGGATTCCTTAATGAGGCATGAAGAAGAATCCCAACAGAAGCTGCTACCTTAACAAGATTTTACTTTTACTGTTTTATGAATAAGAAATATGTGAAATCATCTGTAGTGGTTTTCAGAATTTAAAAAAAGAATTCTATTGTCTTGTCCATAGCCTATGCAAAAAATTCCTTTCTCTGATCACTTCTTATCACTTAATTTGGTTTGCATATTTAAAATCTTTAATAGTGCAGATCACAGTCCCACATTCCACTAGTAGGTGCCATCATTTAAGACATCTCTCATTCTAATATGGAAGTTGAAACTTAATATTCCTGAAAATAAGTTATTTTTAGTTGATCCTTTATGCAATGTGAAAAAAACTGCATTAGCTAAAAATGGTATACACTTGTAATTGAGAACTCATGTTATATGCCAGCTTTAATGGTTTTATGAGCTAAGCTTCAATTATTTACCAAAATTAGAAGATTAATAAAATATGCCATGTCTTTTTCATAAGGTATAATGTTAATACTATAGATGTCAAATTGTTAAATAATGCATGGATGTATATATGAGTGTTTTGCAAATTGAAAGGAGGTGAGCTTCTTTCCATCACATCAATTATACAGTAAAAAATAGCTCATATATATATATGTATATATATATACACATATATATACACATACATGTATATATTCAGGTGCAAAAGCATGTAATAATGGGTATTCTGAATAGAGACACATTTAGAATCAGTTACAGATTTTAATCCCCAAATTTTTGGCAGTATGTATGTCCCTTTCAGTTGTGTCTCCCACAAAACTTTCCATGAAGCAAAGACTGTTTCCATAGATTTAAGTTTATGAAAAATTCATTATTTCTTTTTCTCTAACCTAAAAAAATAAGTTACATGTATTTTACACCAATATTTCAGATTTCTATTTCTAGAAATAGTTCTCATCTAGGCTGCCAGCCCAGAGGAATATGGAGAGAGCTAAAAAGGAAGACATACCCTGAAATTTGATTAAATAGATGTGGGACATTAAGTAGATGTTAAAAAACATTGAGCATAACTATTGAGCTAAACTTGGAATAAAAATTTTCTAATATGATTATTTTTTAGCAAGAAATAATAGGCAGATGTACTGGAAGTGAGGGATCAAAATACCAATAATTTACTCTTTTTTTTTTTCTCCCAGGGGTTGGAAATAAGAAAGGCTAACTTGATTATGGATTTTGGAGAAAGATACTTCAGCCCACAAAGGAAAGAATATACTGGTGAATAGCCCTCAGGAATGATGCCCCTTGGCCATACTATAATTAATGGTTCCTGCGTGAAAAATGAATGGTCAAGTGATGTCCGTGCTTCCTTGTACAGTGTGATGGTGCTCATAATTCTAACCACACTGGTTGGCAATCTGATCGTTGTTATTTCCATATCACACTTCAAGCAACTTCATACCCCCACTAATTGGCTCATTCACTCCATGGCCACTGTGGACTTCCTGCTGGGGTTCCTGGTCATGCCATATAGCATGGTGAGATCTGTTGAGCATTACTGGCACTTTGGAGAACTCTTCTGTAAGATTCACACCAGCACGGATATTATGCTGAGCACTGCATCCATTTTCCATTTGTCCTTCATTTCTATTGATCGCTACTATGCTGTGTGTGACCCACTGAGATACAAAACCAAGATAAACCTCTTAGTTATTTTCGTGATGATCTTTATAAGTTGGAGTGTACCTGCCCTTTTTGCATTTGGAATGATATTTCTGGACCTAAACTTCAAAGGAGCCGAGGAGACGTATTACAATCAAGTTCAATGCAGCGATGGTTGCTTTGTCTTCTTCAGTAAAATATCTGGGGCCCTGGCCTTTATGATTTCTTTCTATATACCTGGATCCATTATGCTGTATCTTTATTATAGAATATATTTCATAGCAAAAGGGCAGGCAAGATCAATTAATGATGCAAATCAGCTTCAAATTGGGCTAGAAGGGGAAAATGGAATTTCACAAAGCAACGAAAGGAAAGCTGCAAAAACTTTAGGGATTGTGATGGGAGTTTTCCTAATATGCTGGTGCCCTTTTTTTGTTTGCATAGTCCTGGATCCTTTCCTGGACTATACTATCCCGCCCACCTTAAGTGATGCATTGATGTGGTTTGGTTACTTGAACTCTAGTTTTAATCCAATTGTTTATGCTTTTTTCTACCCTTGGTTCAGAAGAGCACTGAAAATTATTCTATTTGGTAAAATTTTCCAAAAAGATTCATCTAGATGTCAATTATTTTTGGAATCAAGCCCATAGAACTGTTATATTTTACTGCTTTTCAAAGTAGTTGGTGATTCTATTTAGGAGTGCAGTACCAACCACATGTGCCAAGAATAGGCTCTCTTACCAGTTATTTGAGTAAAAAAAGGTACAGTGATATTTGGTACTTATCATTTGCTTTCTACTGGAGATGTAATAGCTGCAGTATATATATTGCCTCTCTCTATATATATATTGAAGTTTTGCAATTTCAGAATTTAAGGATCTACATTTTAAAGTCCTGTCCTTACATGAACTGCCAGGAAATTGACAGTGGTATCTGACTCATTTGTTGAGTGATGGAAAATTATAGAGCTGCATTTGAGGATGCAAATTAGAATTACATTTATGTGCATATATATGTCCTTTTGTAAAATTAACTAAAATGGCACTTCAAATATTATTACTAAGTAATTGTTCATACATGACTTACTCTGTCGCTACTTTTTTGTCAATATATCTTTGAGTTCTTAAATATCTTGATTCTAATCTTTTTAAAATAAGTTGGTCTGACCTTCACACTTGTAGAAACTTTTGAAAACAATAAATCACATAGAAACAGAATGAAAACAAAACTATGCATAGCTCATTTCCTAAATGAATGATATTTATAATTCTTAAAAAATCTCACTTTTGGCTGATTGTACAATGCTGTGTTGTCCTAATGGACAGCAATTTCTTAAATCATTTCCCTATTATCAGCTACTTAGATAATGCTAATACCTTTCTGATATACTCTAACTTAAATTACATTTCTTCCTCTTACTAGCTACTCAGTTCATCAAAATCTCTGATTAATTTCACTATATTTCAAAGTCATAACTGGCATGGTAGGACTAGAAATATAAGTTACAAAGTAAAACGAATTCAAGTGTTGGATCTTACCTTACATATATATCTAAAGGGGAATAGTCATTCATTGAGATAAACATGAGGAATAACAAGAGGTATAGACAGAGTAGGTACGCCATTCCTGTTAAGATGTCATCTATATGTATAAAAGATGACAACATAGTGGTTTCACTCTAATGGAAGCAAACATTTGTAATTATAAGCATTAATTGGCAATTGAATTGTTTACATATACTTCATATAGTCTGTATCATGCTGAGTAGCACCAAGAATTTGGATTTGTTTATGTTATACTAGTAACTTATACTCTTGGATAAGTTAGAGTAGGTCAACTAGTTTTAAATGAAACTAAATGACCCTTCCTGTCTATTGGTTTCCATTCCAGACCTGATAAACTTGTAGAGTAATATCTTCACTCTATTGCAGTCTGTTTGCAGACTATACATTTTATTTCATTGGATTGATTTTTGTGCTAGTACACTTTATTTTAAGATTTATTTATTTATGCATACAAGAGCTGGGGTGTAGGCTAAAGGTGTGTGTGTGTAAGGTTGGGGGGAGGTGAGAGGATTCAGCAGAGACAGAATGAGGACCAGGACAGATGGATTTACTGAGATACACTGCTGAGGGGAGCAGCAGGCTATACAGGAGAGGACCAAACTCACACTGCCATGGCCATGGACAGCCTCATAGCCCTGAGAATTATCCTTCCACATCACCAGGGAGGTGTGCTACTACACTTTAAAGACATTATGAGTTACCTTCTCAGTCAGCAAATGTTAAGGCAAATTACCAAGAATCACTTCTAGTTTCAAAGTTTACTTTGACTTTTTCTGTGAGGCCATTTTGTCAAATTTAAAAATGGAAAAAACCTTTTAGATCAATTTCTATAATTTATAGAAAGTTCTGTGGCTTTCTTCACATGCTTCCACACATTCCTCTTAAGATTATTCCTAGGGCCCTCCCTGGTTGTATAGCAGGTTAATGCACAGCACTGTGAAACTAGCCACAGCCACTTTTGTGCGAGTTCGATTCCAGCCCCTGAGGTGATGATCCACATGGCACAGCAGACCTCTCCTGTCACCCACTGTTCCCCTCAGCAGTGTACCTTGTCAATCTGCCTATTCTGCTCCCCACTCTGACTCTGGAAAATCCTCTCACTGTCCTTGCACCTCTGGCCTGTACCCCAGTTCTGTATGCATAAATAAATAAATCATTAAAAAAATTATTCTTAGATGTTTTGTAATTTGTGTGTCTTGCTTATTTCGAACAAACCTTTTTAAAATTGTATGTTTTCTATGCAATTTATTGTAGCTTTCCAGCTGATTTGTTTGGGTTTTTATTATGCATAATCATGTAATCTTTAAACAAAACTAAGTTTTATCCGCTTCCCAATAGTTATTCTTTTTTTTTTTTTTGAAAGATTTATTTATTTATGTATACAGAACTGGGTACAGGCCAGAGGTGCAGGTGGTTGAGAGGACTCACCAGAGACAGAGTGGGGAGCAGAACAGGCTGACTGATGAAGTACACTGCTGAGGGGAGCAGGGGGCGGGTCAGGAGAGGTCTGCCGCGCCATGTGGTCACCTCTGGGGTGGGGATGGAACTCATGCTGAAGTGGCATTAGCTTCTTAGAGCTATGCCACCAGGGAGGGCCTGTCATTCTTCTTTTTTTTTTTTTTAAATATTTTAAAATGTATTTATGCATACAAGAACTGGTATAAGCCATAGGTGCAGAGAGTGAGAGAATTCACCAGAGACAGAGTGGGGACCAGAACAGAGGAAACACTCAGGCGAGGGGAAGAGTGGGCAAGACAAGAAGAGGTCTGTTATGCTATGTGAGCTAGCTACCTGGCTGCGGTTAGCAGGTTAGAAGTCAGGCCCAGGGCCTTCCCTGGTGGCGCAGTGGGTTAAAGCACTGCACTAAGAAGCTTAAGTCAATTCTGCATGAGTTTGATCCTGCCTGCCCGGGAGGAGATCCACATGGCAAGGCAGACCTCTCCTGACCTGCCCACTGCTCCCCTCAGCAATGTACTGCCTGTTCTGCTCCCCACTCTGTCCCTGGTGAATCCTCTCACCCTCTGCGTCTCAGGCCTGTCCCCAGTTCTGTATGAATAAATAAATCTTTAAAAAAAAGAAAAAAAAGAAAAGAAAAAAGAAGTCAGGCCCAGGCCACAGTGGTTGTAGCTAGCTTGATAGCACTGAGATTTTAACCCCTGCCATACCAGGCATATCCCCCTCCCCTCTAGTATATTTATAATCAAGAGGAGGTAAAATTAATATATTCAGAATGAATTTATTGGCCTCAATTTATTAATAAAAGTAGTGCCATTTTAAGAGAACAGTGAACTAGATAATCTATCTTATTTTCAACCTACCTTGAAGATAGTAATGTCATAAATATTTGTTGAACTTCAATCCTTTGTAAATTTTGGTGAATCATTTAGTTTAGTTTTACTGTCAGCAGAGCTTGAGCATTAACTATTTAAATGTTCTCAGAGGATGATTTGTTTTTAAATTTGGCAGACTATAACAACAAAGCAATTTAAGGGAATTTTTTTTTTTTAATTAAGGTTGTTTTGGTTTGCAGCACTGTCTGTGATTCAGAGGTAGAAGGTTATGCCCATTTACATGTATGTGACCCTCCACCAAGGTGGCCATACCCCTGCAGCATAGACCACCGGGGTCCTGTCCACATCCACATCCTGCTGCCACTTCCTACCCTACTGATGGTCTCCATAATCAGACTTCCAGGCTTTGTAATCGCTTTAATTCTTCTGATCCTTTGTTTTGCTACTCTGTATTCCACATATAAGTGAAAATATCTGTCTTTTCTCTTTAGCTGTCTATCTTATTTCACTCAATAAAATCCCCTCTAATTCTAGACATGTTGCAAATGACACAAATTTATTTTTTCTTTCTTTTCTAGATGAGCTGTATCCTATTGTGTGTCTGTACAACATCTCCCTAAAACATTTGTCTGTCCTTAGGCACTTAGGTTTTTATGATGTGATTATTGGGAATAGCAGTACTATGAACATGGGAGTATATATAGCTCTTCGGATTAGTATTTTTGCTTTCTTTGGGTAGATACCTAGGAATGAAATTGCTGCATTGTGTGGCCAGTATTTAATATTTTGAAAACAAAAAACAAAAAAATAAAAAACCTCCATACTGTTTTCCATAAGGGTGAAGCCACTTATTTTCCTACTAAGAAGTTCCCTTTTGTGATACATCCTTGTTTCTGGCCTTTTGGGCATGGGCCATTCTCACTGATGAAGTAGAATCTTGTGGTTTTGATTTTCTTTCCCCTCATAAGTGATGATGAGCATTTTTTCATGTGTCTACTAGCCATCTATATATATCTTTAAGAAATGTCTGCTTAGGATTTCTGTCTATTTTAAAAATTGGATCACGTATTCTTTTTTTGCTGAGTTGCAAGAGTTCTTTATATAGCCTGACTATCAGCCTTATGAAAGGTGTAGGATGTTAAATATCTTCTACTATTCAGCAGGGTATCTGTTTTGATTTTAATGATAGTGTCTTTCACTGTGCAGATGCAAGGGAATGCAAGCTGGGAAAGACACAGTAAAATTATCACTATTTACAGTATAGTAAAGTAGCAGGCTACAAATAAATTTATAAAAATCAGTTATATTCCTGTACAAACAATGAGCTAAAAGAAAAAGAAATCAATTAAGCAATTCCATCTACAACCACATCAAAAGAATAAAATGCCTAGTGGTAAATTTAAAAAAGAAGGTAAAGAGCTTATACAATAAAAACTGTATGAGTTTGTTTAAAGAAATAGAATAAGACATAAATAAAAAATATTCCCTGCTCATGGACAGGAGCAATCAATATTATTCAAGTTGCCATCCTGCCCAAAGCTATATTCAGATTCAGTGAATTGGCTATCAAATTTCAATGGCATTCTTTAAAGAAACAGAACAAGCGCTATTGAAATTCAAATGAAATTACAAAATACCTGAAATACACAAACACTGACAAAAAAGGAGAAAAGTGGCATTATAGTACCAGATTTAAAATTATACTCTCAAGCTATAGCAGTCAAAACAATATGGTACTGTAATAAAAATAGATACACAAAACAAAGGAATAGAATTGAGAGCTCAGAAATAAAC